TGGTGTGGGTGAGTGATAGTCTACTTTGATTTTGGTTAAGGTGGATATCACTTACAGTGTAATCAGTGAGGGGATTCTACAGGCTGTTGAGGGTTCAACCTCCTGATGAGTCAGTGAAACTCCGACGAAACAGTTTGTCACAGCCCCTCGTTTGTTGTCCTCTTCTCCCTCTCTGCCTACGGTTTACCGGGCAGTTTTATTTGACGAGATATATATATATACGTGTGTCGACAAGTGGAGACACTCTGCATTATGTTGGATGGGGCACATGGGGTCTCTTAAGTGCAAGTGGCATCTGTGTGTTGGGGAACGAGGTTATGAGTGAGGCGAGAGACATACCTGGTATTGGAAGCGTATGACATTGGTCGTTGTATGCTCGTACTTCGGGAAAGATGTTGACGTCATCATTCGGCATTGTAGTATAGGCTACATAGGATCTGCGATCTGTAGTCTGAGCACCGAGCGCCAGATAGGACATCAACATTGGTTTTTCATTGATGATGATGATGAGACCTTACCAGCATTGTCAATTATGAGCGCTTCGTGTCTTCTTATTTGGTGAAACTCGTGAGGCAATTTTGCTGTTGGTTCGAGGTCACGACTATCTGGTCTAAGGTGTATGATGTTGTTTGATTTCTGGAATTCGCTATTGCTCATCTTTCTTGCAGCTATTATTATTATTATTATGATTATGATTATGATTATTTCGTGTTAATTTTATCAATATTATTACAATATTATTGTCGATATTCTTCTTATTATTATTATTTATATTGTTATAAAAAAAAAACGATTTGCTTAACCCCGCCTTTTCTACTTACCGTATGGCAGAATGTAGATGGGCGGGGTGTGAGCTGCGTCCGCAGAATGATGTCACAAGGCTGGATCCCTTGCCGCCTGGCATGTTGGAATGCGTGTTTTTTGTCTGTCATATCCCCCCCATGTTGTGGTCACGGTGTGTTGCGCGGTGTGGAGGGTCGTGCCTCATTCCCGGTGAGAGAGAGACAGACAGACAGACAGACAAGACCATACAAACAAATAGAAACATACATATAATAATGACGGACAAACGGACAAAACAGGAACCGACGCAGATGTGGAAAAATGAGAGAGGGCGCATGCAGGAAGAGAAGCAGGACAGACGGACTGCGGGAGAAGATCGATAGGGAGAAAGTGAGATTGAGCCAGGAAGAGATGAGAGTCACCTACCTTAGGTACGGATGCTGGTGTTGGGCTGTTGAGTTTTTTGCGTTGTTGAGCGCTTGGTGACTGAATCTAAAAAATTGACAAATTGCTGGAATCTCTAAATTGCACTTATCTGGACCTTGCATCTCGGATTTCATGTGTGTATCTCGTGGGATCTCACGATGCATGTGTAAGGCAGAGCAAGAAAGAGAGAGATAGAGAGAAAAAGGAGGACACAACACAGAGATACACAGACAGAAAGACACGAAACAGACTTACAGACACAGACAGAGAGACAAACAGTCAGACGCACAAAACACAGATAGACATGAGAAGGCAAATATGAACAGACGAGACACGTGCAGACACAGGTATGTAGACACGGATAACCATGTATAACGGGTTGAGACAAACGCATATAGACAAACAGATGCAAATGCAAACGGGCAAACAAATATAATCAAAATGAGCGGTCAAACAGACAAAGATGAACGCAGTCGCTCAGGCTGCGCTTCCGCATTGGCTCATGCAGCGAATAAATGAAAGGCTGGATGCTACCTTTGGACCTAGACTTCTGATTCGCTGCTGGTCCCACACGGTACTTAATCAAGGAATTCGTGAAAAGTGAACTGTTTTTGAAAACTGGACTTTACTGTTTTTTGCATGCAAAATTCGAAAAATATTATTTTTTTTGGAAGACTAAAAGAAATCCGAAAAATGGTTAGACGAAAAAATAAAATAACTCAAACCATAATAACATCCGTTCAACATTGTCTGGCGCAAAGCAAATAAAATGTTTATTTTATAAAATGTTGAACACAAATGTCATTTGTCATTTAGAAAGCAGCTGAAGTTCGACACTGAGGTGGGGTGCATAGACAAGCCTTCCGTGCATTATTCGATATTTGACCCCTGCCAGGCTAGAAAGGATTTCTCGAAAGGACCCGTGCCAGCATTGTAGGTGAGGCACATAGACAAGCCTTCCCCGCTCAGTGCTCACAGGTTGGCTGCTTGAAACGACTTCTTGATTGGGGGGGGCAAAGGCGGCAAGAGGGGATCGATGGCGGGCTTTCACGGTGAGGGGAAAGGCGGGGCCGAAGGGGAACTACGCAGCCGGTGGAAGGAGAGTGGCGTGGACGGGGCGATAAGAGGGAGGAAGGCTTTCTTTTTCTCGTCGTTTTCGCAGAGTGCAAAAATAGTAGGCTGCATGTCGGTCCACCTGGGTCACCCTGTTTGTCGAGGGGGCCTGGCC